GACGACCTGGCTTCGTCCTTTTGTTGCTGCCCGCCGCTCTCCTGGCCAGCCTCTACGCGGTCTCTTCCGAAGAGGATTACGATTTCGATCCACGATATTTCTATAACAACAACGACGACGATGATGATGACAACGACGAGGACGACGAAGCGAGGCTCGACTCCAAGGGTAAGAAACAAAAGAGAAATCTATTCGAAGAATAGGTAAGAAACTATGTTTTCCTTTTTCCTCTCCTCCCTCCATCAGCGACGTTGGACGGGTATTTAGTGTGGAATCCGAGATGTCAGATGCCGTCCAAGAAACCTTTCGATCCATCCATCCTTCCTTACGTGAAGAGAGAAAAGTTCGAAAGATGTTCGTCCACGCCACCGTTGACTAGAATCACCCGTCGGGAGAACGGCACTATCGTCCTTTCCTTGGATCCCGCAGCGAACTCTTCCCGTCTCAGGTGCTGCTGGTCGGCCGTGTTCAGAGGCGAGAAACAACCGAAGAAACCCACCAAAAATAACAACGTCGATACCTCGATCGTGTGAGTGTCTTCTTCTTCGCGAGAGTGGAAAGAAACGCGAAGCAGGTAACGCGATCTAATCGCAACGACGTTGAAACGTGAATCTCTTATTTTTCTTTTTTTTTTTTTTTTTTTTTTCCCCCCTTTTCTTTCCTTTTTCCAGAGTGAAACGATGCGAGAATTTCGAGGGGGAAACGAGATTGGAGGAGGAAGGGGCGGAAGCCGCGTTGGTGAGTTGCAACCTGGTCGAGTCGACGAACGGAACGGAAAAGAAGAAATCGAGACCGATCTACGAAAACGTTCACGCGATCCTCGACGCGAGTAAAGTGGCCGATCGATCGTCGAGAAATGCTACGCAATTACTTTCCACCTCGAAGAAATTGAGCGTTCTCATGTTAGGGATCGACAGCGTGAGCCGTTTGAACTTTATACGAAGCGCGCCCACTACCGAGAGATACCTCCTCGAGACCGGATGGATTCGACTCGACGGTTACAACAAGATGGGCGACAACACGTTCCCAAATATGATGGCGATCCTCACAGGGCAGAATCAGGAACAGGCGTACACGATTTGCAAACCTACCGTCCCCACCATGCTCGATCGTTGTCCTTTCCTCTGGAGAAATTTTCGGGACGCGGGATACGCGACCGGTTACGGGGAGGACGAGACATCTCTCAACACGTTCAATTATCTCAAGATGGGATTCTTTCGGCCACCGACCGATTATTACCTTCGACCGTACATGCTCGCTTGCGAGAAATTGCTCAAAGTGAAGAAGAGGTAAGAAGCCTTTCCTTTTTCTATTTTACTTTCTTCTCTTCTACGCTCCACGATGGTGTCCTCTCTTTCTCTTTCTCTTTCTCTCGCAGATTCGGATTGAAGTATTG